GGCACAGAAGTAATTCCATAGAGGTGATCCATCCATATTAGTTTAAGAAAATAAATACATAAACATATAAAAACTCTAATCTAATAAATATTTTTCCATTGCTAATACCTAAAATGCCAAAACTAAACATAAACCAATGTAGCCTACGTCCTATGATAAAAAGGCACTAGGTGTTTTCTTGTTAGTACAAGATTATCTAGTCTACTATTATTACCTGTATTCTTATTATTCGCTTTATAGTCAGTATATAGCTAATATAAATATATTTCTAGAGAGGACTTGCCTGGTCTTGTTTTTGAAACAAGCTCCCCTCTGTTGTTTGTAGCCACATGTCATTTAAAAAAGACAAACTCGTTGATTATATAAAATTCTTCAGGTGTGGATTGTGTGCAGACCTCTCTGACAGTCACATGACACAGAATGTGTCGCCAAAGCAAAGTTATGTGGAGTTATTGAATTATGGGTGTCACTGCTGAATTGTTTGCCCAGGGTCATGAGTGTGCCACGCGCCTCTCGTTGTCCATATGCCATCATGACGAGTCATGTAGGCTACTGTACATCTTTACTGACTTTCAGACAACCATAACACTGTATAATAACTTTCAGTAATCCATCTTCAACATCTATTCTACCTTACAAATTGTTTTTTAATGAAATTCATATTTTTATTTAGCAAGGATGTATCAAACTGATCAACAGTGACAGTACAGACTTTTACATCGTTACCAAAAAAAATGTCTTTTAAACATTTTATTCATCACAGAATTCTGTAAGAGTGTATTGTGGTTTCCACAAAAATATGAAGCAGCATAACTGTTTTCAACAGTGAGAAAAATATTTCTTGAGCACCAAATCAGCATATAGAATGATTTCTGAAGGATTACAACTGGAGTAGGCCTTGTGGCTGCTGAAAGTTCAGCTTTGTCATCACAGGAATAAATCACATTTTAAAAATATTAAAATAGGAAACAGTTACTTTAAGTTGTAACAATACTTCACAATATTACTGTTTTTGCTTTTTTTGATCAAATAAATGCTGCCTTGGTGAGCATAAAAGACTTATTCCAAAAGTTTATCTTAATAATAATAATAGTTACAACAATAAATCTTACTGACACCAAATTTTTGACAGAATGCACCTTTATCGACAAAAATAATAACCTAGGCTATTTATAGCTACTAACAGAGAAAACACACATTTGTGTAATAAAACTTTTGATTCAAAAGTTAAAAATAGAAATGGTGACAACACCATTTTATATCACCAACTATCTGTCTCCAGTTTTTATGAAAATATCAACGTTTCAAATAACGGAGGCTATTTTTTGACATCAAAGATCTGATCAATGGAACAACTGCATTGAACAAATGGTTACTGTAGCCTAATCATTGATTGCATTGATCCATCTTAATATACTGTGGATTTTAATGAGCCCTTAGGCTCAACACAATATTACTTCCCTTCCCAAAATTAATGAGGCCGCTAATTTGCTTAATTTGCGGGTAAACCCCTAAATTAGACTCAAGAGTGACAAGTCAGTTTCTAAAGAAGCACGTCCGTACCTCGGGTTCTGAATTGGAATAATTACATGGGGCTGAGATCAAGGGCGGTGTAGAGATAGGCCGAGCGATTTTCACTGTTTCCCTGTGATATTGTCTATTGTGTGAAAAGTGGAAGCGTTCGATCTCGGCAGGTCTTTAATTAACTAGAGAAAAACAGGCGATGCACGCGCACCCCCGGTCAAACGCGGATCATTCACCCGCGCGTGACTGAGCTCCAGAGAAAGGATCCATCGTTTCACGCTCTATAGCTACTCCTGGAGATTTGTTGCCTACTACAGTAGGCTTATATGCGCTTGTGCTGTATTTACAGACTTTCACGTTTGTCTTAGCGCATATTTTCACCTTAAAAAGATGCTCACGAACAAAAATCTCAAGCCTGAGGAGGAAACCATAGCAAACGCGCTGACAAGCCTTGGCTATTGGCCAGTGCGCTTATTTAATATTTTAATTAATGATGTAGCCTACCAAAAACCAAGCTTATAAAAAGTCCGTTAGCTGATGTTTGGCGAAGTGGTTTGCGTTTGCACCTCAAAAAGGTCAGGATAAACACTTATTCGAATTATTATGGGAATAATGAATTTTCAACATTTAGAGGTGGACATTTCTGTAGGCCTATAGATGTTTTTTTTATATATAAAAGGTTTGTATCTGCCAAAACGTGACTAAACACTATGCATCAATAACCATGACGCCATGGGGGCTCATACACTGACCTTTGATATGCTCCCAACACCTTCCGCGGTCCTCCACCGCCACCCCCGTCTCAGCAGATGGGGAGTGTGTCCCTGTCTGCTCAGGGCTGCAGGCTGTTGCGCTGGCAGTAGGGTAGCGAGAATTAAATATTCATGTAAAAAATGAATGGAGAACCCCTGGACTGAGAGCGTGCCCATTTATTCAGCTCGCGCAAGCCTCATTAACCCGATGACTGGCTAGCAGGTCACGCTGATTTCCTTACCAACATTTAACATCTACCGCCTGTCTCCAAACACATACACCAACAGAGCGGCTGAGAGGAATTCCAGACCTTTTCTTTAGAGTTTCAGAAAATAATTGGCCTATTCAGATAAAACTGAGTAGTTCTAGCTATGTGTTTACCTTTTATTGTGCATCTGTTTTGATGTTTCTTTGTTCAGCAAATGTACTTTTCTGTAGCCTTTTTAGGCTACCATCTTCTCCCTAAAAATATTTAATACAGTTGCTGTGTTATTTTCCTCCACTGTCACCAAAAAGAACATAATGAAGGAACAAATTACAGTTAGCCTATTAAACAAAACGTATCTAGGCCTATTTTCAAAATTAAACTTAGATTAAAGCAGTAAATTTAGATGTCGGGGTACATTATACGGTGCACAAAAATACAGAATTGAACAAATACAGATATGAAACAAAATGTAGGCTACTTATTTTCTAAATTAAACTTAGATAAAAGCAGTAGGCTAAATTTAGATGCTGCTAGCCTACACGAGGTAGGCTATTTCGGTTAATACACAAAACATAGCCTACCTACAGTACACTAAAATAATAACAATAATAATGAAAAAAATATTTAGTAGCCTAGTGAAGGATTATTCACACCAAGAACGAAAACTATAACCATAAAGTTTTTAATCTTCTAAGTCTTTGAGAATAGCCTAAGGAAATCCACATCACAGCTATATTGATAACGACACAGAATAACGATCGTTGGAATCGTTTTCAGAACGATTTTGTTCCCATCTGATGAACGATGAAAACATTCACAGACAATCAAAATCCACCCAATAGCTTATAATTAACAGAACCAGTTCTTCATTGGTGTCGACAGCTAAAACTATCTTTAAAGTTATGGTTCTTGAAAGGGCATTATGAATTTTGGCAGTGGCTTAATTATTGTTTGTATTGGCTACATCTTGTAAGGACTGAGCGTGAGGCGGGAAGAGGAGTAGGCCCCTGTAAATTAAAACGATGATGCTTGGGGAGGGGCTGTGTGAAAGTTAAACTATCCCTGGACGCATCGCAGCATATGGGAGACGTTAGTGTCGGCCTCTGACTGTGAGACGGGTGCCAGGGGACAACAGCTGACTAGGCTGAAGTTTGCTACTCTATTCAACTCTCACGACGAGCAGCCTCAGAGGGGCCGCCATGACTGTCATCACGCGCGCTCTCTCTCCATCACCTCATTTGAGCAAAACAGTCTCGTGTCCAAAAGACGTTGACTTGGAAGTTATATTTAGCCTATGTTGTTGTTGTTGTTTGAGCAAGAAGCATAGGCTATAGCTGTTCAAAATATAATAGGCCTAGCCTACGTACTGCTGACATAGGCTAGTATTTTGGAAAGGCGTCTAAATGCATTTGAAATGTTTGTTAGATAACAAGTTTTCTAAATCTGCGGTCGCGAACAGAAGTCCCCTTCGCCTGAGGAGGTAATGAGTTGAGCAGTTTCCGTAAAGTTCAGGATTAGACCCGTAGCTTGCATCGACACGACATAAATGCTGCTGTTTATTACTTTTATGTAGGATATTAGAGATTTTTTTTTATAGATATTTTAATACCATTAGCAAATTTAAAAATGAAAAAAAAAATTATGTTTAAAAGTTTAGATAGGCTAATAAGTAGCCTATAGCAATAATTGCATTAAATTATTTATTTTCCATGGCCGTTTCGTTATAGGCTACTCAGTGGGTGTCTCCACCTATGATTTGTCCAAATATTGTTTGGCTTCATTGCTAAATGATTTATGATGAGTCTGAAGACACTTATCAGTTTTCCTGGACTTCTCTGACGACAGGTGCGCCTCATGATCTGCTTTCCACCTGCTCGTTTTATTGCTGCAGATTTTACAGTTTATTTGAGAAGAAATATGATGCTGCTATGCAAGTTTCTTGCTGGATTTTACAGGATGCCAATTCCGTTGCTTATCTTGAATAAAGTGGATAAGGATGTTGGATCAAGTCCCCTGAGGTTTGAGATTTGGGTTTTATTTCGAACTTTTAAAAATCGATGCAAAATAATTAAAAGCGCTGATTATGTTTTGTTCATTTATATTCGTGAAATATATGAATAAAACACCAGACATCACAAAATATGCTACAACTTCTGTAGGCTAAAAGTGTAAAAGAAATATATGTTTAACATATTTTACATATATAATTGTAGCCTGAATTTTAATTCACGTATCAACAGAAATGTATGTAAATGTAGGCCTATAAAATAAATGACAGTTGGGTCAATTCTAATCTGTGTTGTGATCATTCTTTGGAAAAGATCTTCCATCACTCCAGGAGAATTGACATGTGAGGGGAAAAAACAACTCTTTATTCCATGGAAGTTTGAGGAGCTTTTCTATTGGCTGTGGGCACTCAACAGGAGCACTGAGGGGAGGAGAGAGAGGAGGTGATGCCACTATAAGGCACCCTGTCTGAAGGTAAAGGGCCCACCCAAGACAGTCAGCTCGAGTTCAGCTTTCTCCATACTTTATTTTAGCACATTGTACCAGAAATGACAGCAAAAGCCAAACTTTTGCACTGGTCAGATGGAAAATTTCGCGAACGACCAGAAGAGTTTACCCTCTCTGAACATTCGAGGTTGACCCGCAGTGACCCACGGGCCTGGACGACCCCCGCGTACTCACCCTCAGGTGACCACTACGCACACACGTCGGTGGATGCCGCCATAGACAAGTACATGTCTGGAGCCAGCAGTCCTTTGACACCGGAATCTGATCTGGGAGGATCTAAAGCACATGATGGGACCAAGCAAAATCTCACCGGACCTCAGAGACACAGACGTGTGGCCGCTAACGCCAGAGAAAGGCGGCGGATGCACGGATTGAACCGAGCATTTGACAAACTGAGGAGCGTCATTCCTTCTTTGGAGAACGAGAAAAAACTGTCTAAATATGACACCCTTCAGATGGCGCAGATTTACATCACAGAACTGTCCGAGTTGTTGGAAGGTGTCGTGCAGTCGGAGTGCAGAGGTCTGCGGGACGGATGCGGCGCGTCTGGTAACCATGGTAACCTTGGACCCAGGAGTTCAGCTCAGACTTTGAGGACCAGCATCCCTTACGCAATAGACTCACCTTCTTCTAATTTTGTTCCCGAGAAAAACGATGTCACGTCCAATGCGAGTGATGGCGAATCGTCCCATTTCAGCGACATGGAAGAAGGACAGACTGGAGGACGCGGATAGCTTTGCTGGATTGACTTTGAGACTGTGGCACTCTGATTAATTATAATTTATTTGTCTGTGTTTTAGTAGACACCGAAAGAACCGAATAGATAGGCCCTGTGGGTGATGGTTAGGTCTAGGCAACGCTTCATTACTTGACTGACAAAACTACTGAAAACTCACAAGAAAGGGAAGAAAAAATGAAAACATCTATACAAGGCCTTTAGTTGCACTTTATGACATCTACATTTGGATTGTTTCCACTTCACATGTACAAAACCTCCATCAGTAATGACAAAAATGTTATTTATGTATCTTTGGGATTTTTTTTATAACCTCAAAAGTTTAATAAAGATTTCCTTTTCATATATGTATTCGAATTGCTTCAATTCATACGTTCATTAGCCTATAACAATCAACCGCAAGTGTTTCGTGCAGTTATGAACAGCATTTGCTTTACATATCCAAGGTATCATATTTCACTAACGTCACTACTATCTTTTGAAACGGTTTATCTGAAAAAGATTTATTCAGACAGGTTTTTTTTTCTTTAAGTTGCGTAGTTACGCAAGGTGGCGACAAAGAAAGCTTATCTTTGTGAGCTGTACGAGTCATTTAAATCATTCACTCTGATGGGAACATTCAAAACTGATTCGCTCAAAAGAGTCGTTCAGGGCTGAACCGTGTTTACATCACACAAATGTTCTCCACAAATGAAAACAAAGCAAAGTCGTAATTTTTCCTCCATTTTGGATGGTATGGAAGTATGACTTTTGTTGAACATTAAAAGCAATAATTATAGTCTAATGAGTTACAATTCTTCAATTGTTTTGTACTAGACTGACTCACGTCGTTCAATTGGTCAGCAGCTCACCATAGACAAGAGTTGTTAAGTAGTCTAACCAATGAAATGCTCATTCAGGGCCTGCAATCAAATTCTATTGGCTCGTGCTGTAGTCAGGGTTTGAAGAGCTTCAAATTGGATTGCATTGGATTAAAAAAATTTAAGGAATAGTTCATCTAAAAATTAATTCTGTAATCATCATTTACTCACCCTGAAGTTCCAAACCTGTATGAGTTATTTTTGTTTGAACATAAAAGACGACATTTTGGAGAATGTGGGTAACCAAACAGTTGCTGGTCCTCAGTGTGAAAAAAAATAAACTATTAAATTCAGTGGGGTCCAACAACTTTTGGGGTGAACTATCCTTTTACCTTAAAGAATTTGTTAAAAGATACGGTCAACAAAACAGCACTAACTTGTGTTTGAAATTAGAGCTTGGGCTGATGTTTCATGCCAGAGAACCAAGTCACAACCAAACTGCTTTAAATAACTTGTGATATATTGGTTAAGTATACACACTTTTACAATATATCTTACAAAACATTTTCAATAAAGATCATTTGCATTCAAAACACATTTTCCTTATATTTAATCATCGCAGTACATATTCTGTGCATTATTATTAAAAGTTTCATGTTAAAACTTATCGCACACTGTAGCCTATAACACATATCACTCACATTAATCAGGGTAGCAATGACACTGACCTCAACTGTAGACAATAAAAACCTCAATCCGTCATCTGCTCATCTATTCGATCTAACTGGTCACTACTTCCCCCACGTGACCTGGGCGGAAATGGGGGTGGAATTTTAGACAGATCTTTAAACAGAACGCTAGAAAGGGTCTCTTTGAAGTCGAAAGGGATTTCACTGGAAGTGATAACAGGAGTTTGTTGTTCAATGTTAGGCTGCTCTTGCTCATCACTGTCCTCAGTCTGTCTGTTCTTACGTTTAGCTGCAAAATTCACTGTGCTATAAAGGTCCTGAATATCTGGTTGATCCTGCTCAGCAGTGGCCTTCGCGGTCCAGTTAGTGTAGGGAGCTTCTTCATTTTTGTCCTCAGAAGGTTCTTGTGGTGATTTCCACTCCTTCTCTTTATCCACGGTTACATCTGTATCCATGATTGGTGGTAGACTGGGAGGGGTTGGAACTTTTGGGAGATTCATTTTTGATCTTGGCTTTGGTTGTGGAAAAACAACTGAATACAAAACTTCATCCGGGCTGCTTACAGGGCTTTTGACGCAAGGTGGTGGATCTGGTAAGGAGATGTATCTGCGTGGTACTGTTGGACATGGTCTATCTTGTTTTGTATTGACTGGAGGAAGCTTTTTAACTTTAGGCCTGTCCTGTGGTTTGGTTTTAGGCAAGGGTGGCGGTAGTGGAGGGGCTTGTTGAGGAGGAGTGGATGATGCCTTTTGGACATTCTGGTGGGTGAGAACCCCTTTAATGATCTTGTGTATTGGCTGCCCAGGTTTTTTCAGTGCAGGAGGGCAAGGTCTTTCCTGATTCTTGTTGCCTTGAAGTTGCTTATTGATCTTAGTTTTGTCCCTGCCCTGGGTTTTGGGTTTTGGTAAAGGTGGTGGGGGTGGAATGGCTTGCGGAAGGGGTATGGATGGTGGCAGCAGGTCTTGAAGACTCTGCTGTGCGAGTGCCTCCTCAATGGCTTTGTGTATTTGCTGGCCATGTTTGCATTGTAATGCTGGGCGTGGTCGATCTTGATTCACACTGATTGGAGGAAGATTTTTTACCTTAGGCCTGTCCGGTGGTTTGCTTTTAGGCGAGGGGGGCTTGGAGGCCATCTCTTGCGGAAGAGCGGTGGCTTGTGCCAGCAGTTCTTGGACGCTCTGGTGCATGATGGCTTCCTCAATGGCCCTCTTTATTTGCGCCCCCTGTTTTGACAAGAAAATGAACTGACCCTCCCCAGTGTGACAACGACGACCTGCCTCAATCATAATTCCCCCCTGAAAAAAACAATACATATTGAATAAATAGAGCAAATGTGAACTAATGTTTAAAAGAATCAAGGGGGGGAAAAAATTAGTATTTAAAAAAATAAATAAAAAAAATCCTACACATGCTATTTTACCACAAACATATATACACTACCGTTCAAACATTTGTGGTCAGTAATAATTTTTTTTAAATGAATACTTTTATTCAGGAAGGACCTATTTAACTAATAAAAAGTAACAGTAAATACTTTTGAACTGTTACAGAAATGTTCAGTTTCAAATAAATTCTGTTCTTCTGAACTTTCTATTATTTAAAAAATCCTTAAAAATGCTTCACTGTTTCCACAAAGCAAGTTTTCAACACTGATACTACTACTACTACTACTACTAATAATAATAATAATAATATGTTTCTTAAGCAGCAAATCTGCATATTAGAATGATTTCTGAAGGATCATGTGACACTGAAAACTAAAGTAATTGCTGCTGAAAATTCAGATTTCTATTATTTAAAAAATCCTTAAAAATGCTTCACTGTTTCCACAAAGCAAGTTTTCAACACTGATACTACTACTACTACTACTAATAATAATAATAATAATAATAACATGTTTCTTAAGCAGCAAATCTGCATATTAGAATGATTTCTGAAGGATCATGTGACACTGAAAACTAAAGTAATTGCTGCTGAAAATTCAGCTTTGCCATCACAGAAATAAATTTTCCATTTTAAAATATATTAAAATATTAGTAATATTTAGATGACTGTTTTACTGTATTTTTCAGCTAATTAGCATGCAGCTTTGGTCATCACAAGAGACAAAAACATTGAAAAAATAAATCTATCCCAAACTTTTGAACAGTATAGTGTATATATAGTTTTACATTAATTGGTTTATATGAGCAAACATGTTGAGTCAGAGGGTTGCATATTTTTTATTTCTCATGAAGCACCTTGACTTGGCCAAATCTCCTGAGGAGCCTGTAGGGCCAATGGTAGATGGCCTGTCCGGTCTTAAGGTCCAGCAGACAAATAGCCTCTTTCTCAGAAGACAGCAGGTATGACCCAGACATCCTGCACCTTTGAGACGCATCTGTGCTCTGCACTGTCACCTGGTACTGGCCTGCAGGGTGGAATTCATAAAAACATCAAAACGAAGTGTCTCTGGACAAACCCTCAATCACTGAGATCAGACCTCTTGAATATAAAATGAAGACAGAACAAAATATATTTTACAGCGGTGGCCAAACATTATGAAGCAGTGAAACTGATTACATGAATTGTTGGTCTAGAAACAATCTTGACTCTGGAATATTCGAATATTAAAAATGTAAATAAATGAATAAGGATGTATACCCAATTTTCCCCAAAACATCTTCACATTTATTGCATCATTATATACAAAAGGTTGAAAAGACATTATTTTTTCATCTGGCTAAACTACTTTTTACTACTTGCATAGTATACTACTTACTAAATAAATAAGTACAGAACATAGGCATGAAATATTGATCTGAACTGAGAAATTATTTATTTTCTTATTTATAGACTAACTAAAAAGTCTATCAACAATCAGCCTAGTAAATTGTATATTTACCACATACATATTAATATTTATATTCTGAAGTCCTTCAACTCCTTTAAGTCTATATAGATTTTTTTTCTGTTTATTACAAATAAAACTACTAACAACTGTTTAGGCACAGTGATGTAACTGTACTAAATGTACCAAGGGTCCTTAGTTCCTAAAACCTTGAATACTTTTATGCACACACACATTTATTGCCTCACAGCAGTACATCTGTGTGGCTCAAAAACACATTTCAGATAAGAACAAAATTATGTTCTCACACCATGACCGGAATGATTTTAAATGGGAATTTCCCAAGTTACTTTGTGTTCCAAAGCATTACCGTTATCTGTTACAAATCAGCTTGATAATGAACGGTTTCTCTAAACCTCAACCTCTAATCATTTACTAAAAAAAGTAACTTTGCAAAAAAGCATCTGTTATTTAACACTACTGGGTGAGCATTGTAATACTAAGAATATTAAAAACTAAGTATGCGCTACCTAATATTTTTCTATGAGGAAGAAGATAGACCCTCAAACTACTTGCTTCTAAATAAGATTAAAATTCAGAAGCTGAAAAAGTAAACCGTAAAAAATGATGCAACACCAAAGACAATGTATGCAAAAAAAAGACAAAATCTTAAACTGAACACAAACTTGAATCTAAACACTATAAATTGAATCAATATGAAATAGCTATCTAAATTGAGAAACTAGCCTATTTATTTTCTTAATTGTAGACTGACTAAAAGCTTTCACTATATATTGATATATGCCATTTTTTGTTAAGAATTTAATTAAATTGTTTTAATCGATTGACAGTCGACTGATTGTCAAATAATATGTTTCAGAGTGACCATTTTGTGCTCTTATTCTTTTAGATCTATGTAGATAAAGGACCACAAACATGTCTGACCTCAATAAAAACACTGAGTAATGGTGGAAATGTACATCTGCACCATTAAGACACACCGTCTTGCTCAACTGCAACAAACAGTTTGGTAACACCTAGTTTAACAGCAGATAATCGTTACTGTAGTTCTGGATCAGCTATGCTGGTAGACAAGTGTATTTCAGAGCCCATTCTCACCTGCTCCCCAGGTGGAGTAGAGTTCATTGACAGCCGGTGTCGTGTATTTATCTTTCTTGGTATCTTCGGTTCTTTGGGTCTTCTAAAAATGTAAGACAGTTGATAAGATAATAATTAACATTAGTAATTCCTCTTTTTTTATCACTCTTGTGCAATCATAGACTCGAAGGTGTGGTTATCAACACTTCCTTTGTGACAGGTTAGCAGTTGTGTGAAGCTGTACCTCAAGTTCATCATAAATATGTTGACTTTAGTTACTTTAGTAGTGGGAAAATTATGACTTGTTTTATGTTATGAGAAAGATGTAACTCATATTATTCATATAAACTTGTTTCACCAAACCTTTGTCTTTTGCTTTCTGCTCTTCCTTGGCAGATTGAATATGAGACAAAATGTAGTTTTGTTAACTAGTTTATGGTATCAGACAAATTGCTGTTGAGTGCGTCCGTGAGATTATGGGGCCACGTCATTCACCAGCAAGCAGCTAAAAATGGTCCCCACTCATTTCCTCCAACGTTAAACTTTACCTTGGCGTGTTCCTTTATTAACAATCACCCAAGCTTGGTTGTACACAGGAAATAGCAAAGAGATGTAACCAGAGATACAATGTCAGAGAAGAATTGTATTGCAGTTTGCATCATAAAATAAAGAGGGCGCATAAGCTGACCATCATTTATTTACAATTAGCAAAAAAATAAAGATTAACTGGCAAAAACATGCCTGATTGGGTTTCAGACAAATACTGTAACAATTCAGCTGTTACATTAATACATGACAATGTCATTATGAAGCAAAACCTACTGAAAATTCTAGGAAATCCTAACTTTAACATTTTTTCTAACACAAAGCTTTTTGACTGCATTTTGCAACAAACAAGAAATAGTTTCACTGAAATGAATAAACAAATGTACAGTTCCAAGAATAATACATTTTGTACAAAATGACGCAAGACACGACACAGGAGCCTCTCTCAAGGAAAGATCTGATGGCAAAGTAGCAAAAAGCATTAAAAATCCATGGAGCTGTTGGCCAGATAGTCCTTGCGGCCAATGTTGGTGACCTGTTTTGTCTGCATGGCCTCCAGTTTGGGACAGTCTGTGATCCTGTGGCCCAAACCACCACAAAACGTACAGCCTCTCTCTCCTAGGATGGAAAAATAAAAGGTAAATATCTTATACTTCTGGCTACTTAAGCTTGTTTCAGCAATAAGTATATAATTTGTACCTCCAATATCCAGCATCGTCTCGTCTCCCGTTTGGAGAACCTGCAGCACAGGAGGAACCTTCTGCTTGGCTTCAACCAACAAAGCTCTCAGATCCATTAGTACAGACTCATCTATAAAAAAAAAAAGGATTTTGATGCTCAATTCTCAAATCTATACAGTATATTCTCTGAAAAAATAAACCATTGTGTGTGGTAATTTAATCTTGGAAGGAAGTACAAGAAGATGACAAGAAACGAAAACGGAAAGACAAACACCAAAGATAAATCTATACATTAAAAAAAAAAAAACTTACCACATCCTTTGTTGATAAATGTTCTGAATTACTAATATACACTAGAACTGCTCGATTCTGGATAAATTGAGAATCGCAATTTTATTTTATTTTTTCAAACAGAGACCGCAATTCTCCCATGATTTTGAACTAAGCAAAATAACATGCAATTTACTAGAGGCTGTGACAAAATATTAATTGCCATCATTCTATTCAAAAATGTTTCATTAATTTGAATGAATTATTTTTTAAAAAGGTTCGAATGAACGATTTAATGACAAACACATAAATACTTCATTTGTTCCATTACTGACTGAATCGGTGTTTTTGAACGAATCTCTTGAATGAATGATTCAATGACAAATCATTTTTTAACAGTCACTTGTCATCACCTAGTGGCGAAACAATGTAATCAACATTGTAATCAACAAACGTTATTGGAAGTGAAAATTTGTTTCAAAAGATGATTTGCTCCATTTTTATCTGAATAATAACATTTTATCCCAGTACTTCTGTGATAAAATGAATGATTGTAAGACACAAATGATACTGTGTGGCTGAAACGACTGTTTGTGAAGCTGTTTCATACCTAAACATGATAACTGCTCTCTATGTGTCAGCGGCAGCACGAAAACAGCACGTTTAATAGACAGACGAATCATTGTCATATAAAAATAAGATTGCGTGGGTGTTTGAATCGAGATCGCGATCTTTTTAATCAATTAATCGTGCAGCTCTAGTATACACTTGTTCAAAAGTTTGGGGTTGGTTAAGATTATTTGTGTTTTTGAAAGTCTCTCTCATGCTCATCAAGGCTGCATTTATTTGATCACAAACACAGTAAAAACTGTAATACTGTGAAATTTAATTACTATTTAAAAAAACTTTTTCTATTTTGTTATATTTTAAAATGTAATTGATTTTACTCCAGTCATCAGTGTCACATGATCCAGAAACATTCTAATATGCTTGTTTGGTGCTCAAAAACATTTCTTATTATTATCAATGTTGAAAACAGTTGTGCTGCTTAATATTTTTGTGGAAACCGGGATTCATTTTCTCAGGATTTTTATTTAATAGAAAGTTGAAAAGAACAGCACGTGTTTGAAATATAAATCTTTTGTAACATAATAAATGTCTTTACCACGGCATTTGATTGAATTTGAATTAATGCATCTTTGCTGAATAAAATGTATTATTTCCTCACAAATTTTTTTTTTTTTTTTTTTAAATCTTACTGACCCCAAACTTTTAAAACAGTAGTGTGTTTCAAAAAATTGACCTTGGCAAAGCTCACAAAACAAGTAAAAGGATCGAAGGAACATGAGGAAAGAATAAAGCTGGGCCTCGCATGAATCTTAATGTCTTACCTGGATGACGTCCAAACTTGCAGCTCCAGCTCTGCCCACATTAATGGTGATGGGTTTTACTAAAGCACTTTTGGCAAAGTTCTGGATCTTCTTGGGCATAGTGGCACTGAAAAGCAGCGTTTGTCTCTGACCCTAAAGCAAATCATAATAATGAGCAAAAAAAGCACTCTGGTTATTAAAAAAAAAAAAAAAAACATTCATTACCTCTAAAACAGTATTATTCTAGTTCTAAATCCACTACATATTCAAGAAAACACTGAAAAAGGGAGGGGAACATTTTACTATATTTACTGACTAACTGCTATATAATTGAATAACCTAAACAGTACCATGAGATTTGCACAAAATACCTTAAAGTAAGAGAAGATGGTCCTGATGTCCTCCTCAAAACCCATGTCAATCATCCTATCAGCCTCGTCCAGAGCCAGATAGCGGCAGATATCCAGACTCACCATCTTCTTGTTCAGCAGGTCCATCAGTCTGCCTGGAGTGGCCACCATCATGTGCACCCCGCTACAATCACACAATCATTCGCAAGTTTATAAGGGATTTCTAAAGCAACCAGCATCCAAATAAAGAGCCAGTATGATGTCCCAATCTTTTTGACCTTTTCCTTTTTAAACGTCATGAGGTGTACATTTAAACTCTTTAAACAATGTGACTCACTTTTTTACCACCTCCATCTGATCTTTGACAGACATGCCCCCAATACACAGAGCACAGCGCAACTGCGGAGCCCCTTCATCCTCTAGTAGTTTACAGTAGTGTTCAATGATACTATGTGTCTGTCTCGCTAGCTCCCTCTACAGATGGAGAGAAAGACACGCAATAAATAAATGACCATACTGTTGCTGTCTTGTGCCTGTACTGTCTGCCTCTTGACTTATGATTTGTATGATGAAATATTTTTGTTACATATAGGTAATCGGCTTCTCCTTTTTCAGGCAGATGACACAGGCTGTGCCAGAGACTGAGTGGGCTTACAGAAGGACAGATGATGAGGCCGTAGGGTCCCTCTCTCTTACAGAAGGGTAGCCGTTTCTCCTGCTCCAGACAAAACATAATGATGGGCAGCGTGAAAACCAGGGTTTTCCCTGAGCCGGTAAAGGCAATGCCAATCATGTCCCTGCCAGAGAGACTAAAACAAACAAACTCATTTTAATAACTACAAATTTAATATATATATTATGTATATATATGACCTCCTGATAGTGCATGATAATGGCTAAATATTGCCTCAAGCCCACATGCAACTCACATGGTTGGTATTCCCTGAATCTGAATGGGTGTCGGGCGAACGATTCCCTTTTTCTTCAGTCCTTTCAGGATGGCTGCAAAGACCATTAAAGTTGCGAGCGGGCCATTAGCGTGAAGCTGCGAGTGAGGTGCTGCATGTAAAAATAGGTAAGATGGATCTTACCCTGAGGAAACTTCATCTCTCTGAAGCTCTTAATGGGTGGTGGAATGCCTTCACCTTCAACAAGAATATGGTACTTCTTCCGTACACGTTCGTGCCGCGCTGCCGGCATGCCAAGAATGTAACGAGGCACATTCCAGCTGAAGAGAAAATCAGAAGTTAATTGCTGTTGTCATTATTTGCAAAAAAAAAAAAATCTGACAAATGAATGGAGGTTAAAGGCAGCTCACCTTGTTTTTATTGGGTCTTCATATGTGATACCTTTGGCCATTTCCTTCACAGACATTAGAGCTGATAAAGATATTAAAAGATGCATTTTTATGATGATAAATACTTCTAACCAATAAATTAATTAATCTGGTAAATCATTCTGTTTTCGCTTACCTCTGCCTTCAGCCACGCTCTCCAGAATCTTTTCTTCCTCTTTCAACTGTTTCTCCTTGGCAGACTCCTTTCGAGCTGCACTTATTAATATAAGATTTGAGAATAAATAACAAATGAACAAAAAAAAAACCATACTGAAACTACTTAAGAATTATCTTTGTATTTACAAAACAAAACGAAAAACTATTAGTAGAATTTTTCTTATTTGATTAGTAGCTTAGAATCTTTAATACTTTAATCACGTACATCAAAAAATACTTTGTTGTTAATTTCTAAAAAAAATACTAGATCTTTATGTACTTCTATGTTTGAATTTCATTTTGACTCCTTGATTTTCACACCTAGGTTGGACAAACTAAAACATTTTAATAATGTGATAAACATTTCTAAAGAGAACTCACTAAAAATGCTCAATTTACACATATTAAAAACTGAATATCCCAACAGAAAGATTGAAATGTCTCCGAGACATTCATTACGGTCCAAATTCTATTTGTCGAGTGGTTCTCAACCAAGTGGACTTAACAAACGTACAAGGTGGCTGCAACATGAATTAATTACTTATTAAAATTATTAATTGAATTATCAATCAAGATGTGAATTGAAATCATATTTCTTTCTCCCTGCAAAAACTATTTGTTGTTGTTGTTGTTGTTGTTGTTGTTGAAGTTTATCGAAACTTCTAGAATCATAAAATGAATAGTGGTTGCTTAATTTTCCTATATTGAGACACTGATTGAGACCCACTGCATTAGACCGTAAATCAGCAATGAAGCACAGGGGAGGGTGTAAAGACCTTCAGCTTTCTCCTTGAGGTGTTGGTGCTGGTCCAGCAGACTGACATTGGATCGGGGACCCAGACCCTCTTCCTCATCTTTTTGCTCTCCACCACTATCTTTCTGTTCCTCCACTGTGAGCCCTTTCCCACGAAAACGCTTCACCTTCTGGAGCTTAGAGTCACATCAAATAAACACAGGCAATTAGGATGCTGGGACATATAACAGCAAAAGCATGAAATATCGCTGTTGCCTACCATCTGCTGTTTTCTGATCTTAACAGGAACATACGGCACATAGTCATCATCTTCTGAGCCTTCTGATCCAGACTTCTCGGAATAGTTTCTCTGACAATTGCATAAAAGCCACAAAGTGTTACATATAATACAAACTGCATACATGTCATACAGCATCACATGTTCAGAACCACATATTCTCTTCTTACAGTTTTATATTAATTACACTAAGGCAATTTATTATTGCCACATTTTAATTCGCTTTATAAAATGCTAAAACGCCATTATACATCAGATAACCTGTAGAGAAAAATATTTCCGAGATATAATTAATCGCACGTTTTACACAGTGAATGGGGTTAAATCTGTTGCTCGAAGCTATTTACTTATCAAGGTGCGTTTATTATACATATTAGTAAAACTCACCTTTTTGGATTGGTTTTCCGTTTCCATGATGCTCGATGTTACAAGCTTTAAAGTCCGCGTGAACGAAGTTGCGATATTTAGTACAATAATGTCAGGTAACTGTTACATTACACCCAAACAAGCATTGTTTATACACTAGCCACCATGATACGCTGCTAATGATCAACGGAAGCGTGACGTACAGCTTACGGAGGCCCAAAAGGGACAACCCAATGTATTTCGGGAAAAAACCCGTTCACCTAAAAATGGACATTTTTCACCATAATGTTGTTGCAAACCTGTATGACTTTCTGTGAGACAAACTAGATGCAAGAAAGAATGTGCTCAATAGTATCAATGTGCCTCAGTCACTATTCATTTGCATTGAGAGAAAAAAAGAAGAAATGAAAGTGAATAGTGACCAAAGCAGCCAATCATTCCCAAAGAAATTGTAACATCTCCTCCTCAAGTCACACGGTTTTACTAGGGTAAGTATTCACTCACGAAGGTAAGTAAATAATGACAGATTAAAAAAACAAACAAAAAAATATTTAACCGAAAAAACTAAATCTTCTAATTTCTCATTGCCATTTATGTGGTTTCTTATATTACTACATTTGCATGGTACCAAAATAAACACAACACGTTTCTTTTCTCAAAACTGTCATGTTTTAATCTTTCTGCATGAAAGATTTTCACAGTATCAAAAGTGAATAATAATAATTATTATAATAATAAAAAACAACTAAATAAAACAGAAAGCCAACATACACTTGGCCATTAATGGTATAGTATAAATCTACATTCCAAATGTTTAAGATAATGTCTTCTAGTTTAATATCACCTGGATAGAGTCAAAGATGTCGGAAAAATATGAAAACAAAAGACACTAATTAAAAAAAAAAAAAAAAAAGGTGATATCTGTATTTGGGATTTTTACCAGAAGGGGCTCAGCTTCAGGGATAAATGAGTAAAAAAAAACAGTATGACGCAGACATACAAAGCTATGGAAAGGGCCACCAGATGTTACAAGCGGTGTACCACTGAGGGGAATCTTAAAGCCCCTTTAAATCATAAGATGCCATTGCAAATGTAACAAACGAAAACAGGTCTGAACTGGTTATGCACCAGTGGACTGAAACTACACCAGCAGAACTGCTGCAAGTGTCTGGGATGTATAAATTCAGGTCTGATACCATCATGCAGCCAAAACAAGGGTGCACACTGCTGCAGAACCAACTACAAACTGAAACTCACAACAGCATTGAGAACCTGGTTACAGCACAGAACTAGATCCAAACCACCACATGGGAGGATCAGCAGGGACACTACCATAAGATTTCGGTCAGGATATTTTGCCAACAGTCAGCTTGGAACAGCATTCCATACAGAGTTGAAGGAAAAGGGAGAGATTTGTAGTTGCCTATACTTGTCAGTTTTTACGCATCATGCAAAGGAAACATTTGCTCATTTGCTCAACCTTAGATTTCATGTATAAAAGTGACAGTCGACAGATACAGGTCTTTAAAATCAGTTGCTTTTTAGTGTTGATTCCTTTTTTCTTTTCTCAAAAATGTCCGAAGTAATAAGACAAAACAATTTCACACATCATACATTGTAAGCAAAGGTATGGATGTTCTCATTGTTCTAAAAGACAACAAAGTCCATGTGCACGGTTCATTTTTGTGCATATAAACTGTCACAGCTGCACTTGGCCTCACAAAGTCGACTGTGAAATGACACGGGTGTAGTATAATCTATACAGATCTTTGTATCTCACATGGACAGTTCTACAAACTAAAACACATCAGTGAACACAACCGTCTTTGCTGCCTTTTTACCTCCATTATGACAGTCAGACATGATACAGCAATTCGAATTTTTTATTATCAAAAAACCCACATTTTTCGTATCTATTCTAAGACTTCAGTATATTTGCAGGGTGAGTGGCGTCTGCAAAAATGCATGATGGTGCAACCGTAGAAGTACCTTTTAAAACACATGAACAGCTGAAAAAAGCGTGACGGGCCAAACCGCACCATTGTTGTGAATTTAAAACATTTTTATTGTAAAACAACTGTGTACATATGACATATAAAGCATGTAGATGCACTGGATCAGTACCCGAACGTGTTTTAGCGATAACAGGATGCAAGTTCTCGGACTGAGTTCAGGATGCAGTGTGATCCCCCGTGAACAACAGGTCAAATGAAAACGTGTTTGATGACTGGTGGTCAAATCAAGGTCCCGTGGCATAGAGGCAGAAAGGGCTGTGAGAGGGAGAAACCTTAGGCCCATCAGGTGTTAAGTACAGTAACCAAAGGCCAAACTGGTTTTTAGTACAGTCTTGCTGGGAGGGGAGCTCTGTTTACCATCACCCATCTGTTACTGAGCTGCATTTGAGGGCATCTTTTTGAGGCTGAAGTTAGACCAGTTCACAGCCACCTTCTGTCGGGTTTGTTTAGCAGAGTCAAGGCAAAACCTAAAAAAATTGAGAGATTAAAAATAAAAATAAAAAGGTTAAGCAACGAATTAGATTTTTTACATTTCTACGACATTCTTGTTCCAAGAATGACCTGTAATGTGATAAAAGGACAATTAATATATCTTCCATGTAAATCTAAGATATTCTTCTAGTGATGAGCGCCAGGAGGTTGTATCTTCTGTATCTTCATCACTTGGTTTCAACATCTGCACTTGGTAAGCCCCACCGACAGTAGCTGCGCTTCCATTACCCTTTAAATTGCGCAAATCGAAATTGCGAATTGAAAATACACCCAATGGAAACAAATCAAATTCGCAAGAAGTCCCATATATTGCAAAAAAGTTTTTACACTCTCATGAGGTGGTTTTTCAGGCAATTCGAAAAAGGAATATTTAGCATAACTGCAATAGAAACCGTTTTTTCGCATTTACAGGTCTCCTGATATATGTAAAAGTCACATGATCATTCTTTGATGTACTATAACCTCCAAGAAACACCTCATACATGGCCTCTCTCAAGTACAGGTGCATCTCAATAAATTAGAATGTTGTGGAAAAGTTCATTTATTTCAGTAATTCAACTCAAATTGTGAAACTCGTGTATTAAATAAATTCAATGCACACAGACTGAAGTAGTTTAAGTCTTTGGTTCTTTTAATTGGGATGATTTTGGCTCACATTTAACAAAAACCCACCAATTCACTATCTCAACAAATTAGAATATGGTGACATGCCAATCAGCTAATCAACTCAAAACACCTGCAAAGGTTTCCTGAGCCTTCAAAATGGTCTCTCAGTTTGGTTCACTAGGCTACACAATCATGGGGAAGACTGCTGATCTGACAGTTGTCCAGAAGACAATCATTGACACCCTTCACAAGGAGGGTAAGCCACAAACATTCATTGCCAAAGAAGCTGGCTGTTCACAGAGTGCTGTATCCAAGCACGTTAACTGAAAGTTGAGTGGAAGGAAAAAGTGTGGAAGAAAAAGATGCACAACAAACCAAGGGAACTGCAGCCTTTTGAGGATTGAAAAGAATTTGAGTGAACTTCACAAGGAATGGACTGAGGCTGGGGTCAAGGCATCAAGAGCCACCAAACAAACCAGGAAACGGAATCTGTGTCTCATTCAGCTCGTCTGCTGTTTCATGCAGATATTTTTATTTATAGTTTCACAAAACTGAAGTCTTTGCTTCAAATTTCAAAAACTGAAGTTTTTGCTTCAAATTTCGAAATTATACAATATAATTTAGTTTAAAAATTGCTCATGTTGCATGTATGCAGCATGTTTGTTTGGATCAAGATTAAAATGCAGTGGTTGTCTCTCATTTTAAATTGAAAGAGCACAGACAAAGCCTTATTTTGTTTATATGAAGATATTTATTTTATTTGTGTTATTTATTTGATTTGGGGCTTGTTTTAAAATTTCAATGTAGTTTTGTCATTTACATTTACATTATATTTAAATTTTGTAATTTAGCAGATGCTTTTATCCAAAGCGATTTACAAATGAAGACAATAGAAGCAATCAAAACTAATATTAGTATATTATTATAGTGTTCTATTTAAATTTCACAAAGAAATGTGAAGCATTTTGTCCAAGCAACAATAAAAGGACACATTTAATTTATAATCTGTCTTAAATCTCATTTTGTTAAAAAAATTATAATAATCGAATCGTGAACAGAATCGAATCGTGACTTGAGTGAATCGTTACATCCCTACTGGTCAGCAAACTCACCAGACCTGAACCCCATAGAGAATCTATGGGGTATTGTCAAGAGGAAAATGAAAAACAAGAGACCAAAAAATGCAGATAAG